TCTTTTATGATGCTACGAATTATCTGGGTGGGCGTGCCAATTGGTCTTGAGCAGTTGTTCTCCCGATGCCTGCTCGACGGAGGTCCCTCGTGACAGAATGCCTCCTCTTCATACCCCTCCTTTTCTTCGGGATGCATAAAAGGGTCTCGCCAGCGGTCAGGTCGGCCAGGCCCCTCCAGGTGACGACCAGGAGGCCCGAGTACCGATCTGACTAATTGTGGCCCTGAGGCGGCAATTCAACGGCTGATTGGCCATGTGAGTGTTCGGGCGGGTCTGGCGGCACTCAAGCAGCTCCCTGGAAGCCCGGCGCCGACACTGTTTTCCTGTTTCCTGTTCTCCTGTTGCTGCTGCTCCTCCTCCTCAGACTGCCCCACTCATCCCCTTTGGATGATGGGCGCACGATGTTTTTCAACAGGCGATGGTAAGTGTTAGCGCCGGCCCGTGGGCTCTTGAGAAGCCCAACTGGCGCTTAAGCTCTCTCGCGACTCGGGCCGAAAACTACGGAGGTAGAAAAAAACACCAGAATCGTCGTAACGCTTCTGTGTCTGCACCTCCCAGGAGACTCTGCGTTCGTTGCTACTGCACTGTACGCAGCAACAACAACAGATTCCACCAACCAACCCCAACCAACCTCCATTAGACACGCTGGCACTTTACCGCGTGGTCGCGTTGCAGTATGCTCTGCAGCGAAGGCAGACTGTTCCGCTACGCTGCACGCACACTTGCCGCCTGCTCGCACAGAATATTTGCGAAAGAATGAGACACAGATAGCTCACGCAACGCAAAATTGATGTGATGATACAGGAGAGGGTGGTACGGAACCGCCAACCACGCTGCATCATCAGTTTTCCTCGGGCGCCCTGCGCGAGGCTCCCAGGACCGCAATTCGTCTAAGAGGGAGGGGTGGGCATTCGCAAGTGTGAGTCTCTGTATAAATTCACCTCTGGCCCACTCTTTATGCGCAGGAAACGCACACAGGTCAAACAGTGTACGCAACATGGCCGCCGGCCACGAGCGATGCACGTGAATGGGGTGACCACTCGAGTGGGACAGGGGACTGGCCAGGGCGGTATCTTTGAAGGCAGGGGAAGCGAACGCCCTGCCATAGTCACTATGGACCCAAAGCTGTAGCCAATGGGTATCTCTATGCCCTATCTCGTCCAGGACCATGCGAAAGTAGACTGCGCGCCCCTGGATGAACCTAAAAAAGTTTAAAAACAGTTCGTACTTAGTGCATCCTACCAGGATGTCGTCTTTGAACCTCATGTACACCCACACTTGAACATCTCTGATGAGCGAGGCCTGGGAGAAGAACTTTTCCGTCAGATTGGTGAGGCAAGCGTCGGCGACGTCGCCGCTGTGGATCAACACCATCCCCGACCCCTTGATGACCTGATGACGGGTGGCGGGATCGTGAGGGCTGACCACGAACTGACAGCTGAGTAACAGAAGTAGAGCTCGTTGGACCAGAAGCTTGAAATCGCCGTGCAAGTGCAAGCACGCGTCCCGCGCCAGCTCCTCCGCCGTGCCACTCATGAAGAACTCCTTCAAATCTACCTTTGCCCAGCGCATGTTCCTAGGGAACGCGCGTGTCCTGAGACGTCTTGCTGCGTCCCTGGCGTCGCGTACAATCCACGGGATCGTGTCCAAATACCTGCGCAGGACTCCTGAAACCCACCAGGACAGGCCTGCGAACGAGTACTTGGGCTGAGTATGAAGTGCTCGAAAAGTTACTGGCTGCTTATGAGTCTTGCATCTTTTCTGGAGCAAGGCTGTTATGCTGGCTCCCGGGACGTGCATGCTGCGCTTGATCTGGAAAGCAAGCGGCTCATCGTCCTCGTGCCGCGCAACAGCTTGAGCGACGTCACTGTACCACTCCATAATGCCAGTGAATTGTATTGGTTGGGTGACCTCCTCGTAGTTGCCATTCTGCAAAATGCGCTGATCGATGAGACGATCATGGAAACGGTGCACAAGGGTGAACCCCACTTCCTTGTCATTTGGTATCGCGACGTAAGGCGACTGCGACATCAACCGTAATGCCCATTTTGTGAGCGGCGACACATTGGTCGGTCGGATCCGGTGCGCCCAGCGTCGCCTGCAATTCTTGAAAGCAGTCGCCACCACCGACTTCAAATCGGAGACCCAGCAGTTGATGTGCACTGGGACGAAATGAGGGCACGGTGGCGTTACGACGCCAGGAATTCTGATGTGCGCAGTCCGTGGGGAGCCGAGAAAATGCCAACGCCATTTCAACTTATTTGCAAACTGGTTCACGTCTGCAGCCAAAGACTGGTGATCCGGCAACTTTCTTGTGAAGAAAATGTGTTTTGGATAGTGACAAACCAGCAGCCACACTATCGGCCACGGGACACATGCAGAGCTCCTAAGTGAGCTCGATTCGTAATCGAAGACACGCACTCGTTCAGACAGTCTTGAATATTGCAGCATCTGGGTCCACAAACCCACATTGGAGCCAGAACACAATTGCAATAACAACCGAAGATGAGCGCCGCGGTCTCTGGCATCCTTCACTGCCACTTTTTTGCTCTTCCTCCAAACCCTTTGCCTTTCGAGTCTTTGCCCTTTCCTTTGCCTTTTCCTTTTTTGGTCCGTTCCAACGGCCACGTTGCCCCCTTCGGGATCCAGTGCCGAAGTCCGGACTTCGGTGCGTTGTAGCTGGTCTTGCCCTTGTCTTTGCCCTTGTCCTGGCTGCTCTTGCCCTTGGCTTTGCCTTTGTCCTCGCTGCTCTTGCCCTTGCTTTTGTCTTTGGTTTTGCCCTTCTTGCCTTTGCCCATCGGGGGACGGCGTTGCCCCTCGGGCTGCGGCTCGGGCTGGCCAGCAGGCGGGGCGGCTCCGTTTTTTGGCTGGGCCATCAACGCGACGAACTTCGAGGTGGCGTCGGTCTGGTCGCCGGTGGTCGTCTCGTTCGGGGCCGAAGCGTCCACAGCCATGGCGCCAAGCGCCTGCTGGTCCAAGTTCGAAAACTTTTTGTCGACGATCGTGGAGGCGATGTGGGAGACAGCGTCCTGGAAGAGCGTCTCCGGTGCCACCTTCAGCAGTTTCTCTTCTTGCTTGGCGGCCTTCTCTTTCGCCTTCTCCTCGCTATCCTTGCGTTTCTGCTCCGCCGTGGCCACCTTCTCGACGGCCTGGGCGTACAGGGCTTCGAACTTTTCCTTGATAACGTTCGGGTCGATGCGCTTGACCATCGGCTCGTCTAGGCCGAGCTCCGTTGCACGCATGGTGAAAGCCTTGTCAACCATCCCCTGGCACTCGTTCATGAATTGCTGCTTGGAGGCCGGTTCCATGGCCAGCTGGATGCTCTCCTGCAAGGCTTCGGCATCGATGCTGCGCAACGCATGGGCGTGGGCCATGTGGATGATCCTCTTGGCCTTCCTGCGCGTTGCCTGTTTGGGCGCAGTCCACGCCGTGCCCAACAAATCGAACTGGTAGGCGTCGGTCGCGCACCGATCCCAAATCGAGTCCAATTCAACTTGGTGGATAGGCGACCGGAACGCTCTGATACCATTCGGGTAATGTCCGTCGACTAGGGCTTTCACGTCCTCCTCGGCTTTGCTATGCAGATGGCGTGCCTTGATCAGCTTCTTGGCCTTCTCTTCGTGGTCATGCGTCAGTTTCTCAAGGCTCTTCATCAACGGAGGCGGCAACTTCTTGAGAAAGTCCTCCGCTGGTGCCATTGCCGCCGGTGCTCCAGCGGCAGCGGGAGACGGCGGAGGTGGTGTCGAGGCCACCTGAGGCACCACTCGTTTGATCATGTCGATGAAGTTGCGTTGCATTTGTGCCATCTGTTGCTGATGCTGAATCTGCATCTGCTGCATCGTCTGCTGACTCTGCTCGACCTGCGCCTGGGACTGCTCCGCCATGGCCTTGAGGAGCTTTGCGACGTCCGGCGATGCAGTCTCTGGTGCCGCTGACCCTCCACCAAGGCGGGGAACCTTGTCGTCCCGCATCAAGTCTGCAATAGCATCTGCAGCTCGCTTCTGTTCACTTTGTTCGCCTGCGGCCATCGTGCGAAAGCTGTGTGGCAACGCCCCTGTGGATGATGGGCGCACGATGTTTTTCAACAGGCGATGGTAAGTGTTAGCGCCGGCCCGTGGGCTCTTGAGAAGCCCAACTGGCGCTTAAGCTCTCTCGCGACTCGGGCCGAAAACTACGGAGGTAGAAAAAAACACCAGAATCGTCGTAACGCTTCTGTGTCTGCACCTCCCAGGAGACTCTGCGTTCGTTGCTACTGCACTGCACGCAGCAACAACAACAGATGGTGAGGCCTGGTGAGGCCTGTTCTGTCGCTGAGGGCATGATGGTGTCTCGTGGGTGTTTCTGTGTGCCTCTTTGGCAGTCTTGGGGACCTTTCGGTGGTTTCTTGTGCTGTTTCGGAGGCCTCTTGGGGGCTTTTACGGGGCCTCCTAGGCAACATTGTGTACCTCCTGGTCAGTATTGCGAGCTTTTGGGAAGTAGATTGCGTTTGGGAGCCTGTTGGAGGCATCTTTGTCAAACCTGCAGGAAGAACGCAACGTTACTGGCCTCCCGGAGTGCTGATGGGATTTCGAACATGGGCGCAAATTTCCCGTTGTTCTTTTATGATGCTACGAATTATCTGGGTGGGCGTGCCAATTGGTCTTGAGCAGTTGTTCTCCCGATGCCTGCTCGACGGAGGTCCCTCGTGACAGAATGCCTCCTCTTCATACCCCTCCTTTTCTTCGGGATGCATAAAAGGGTCTCGCCAGCGGTCAGGTCGGCCAGGTCCCTCCAGGTGACGACCAGGAGGCCCGAGTAATTACCGATCTGACTAATTGTGGCCCTGAGGCGGCAATTCAACGGCTGATTGGCCATGTGAGTGTTCGGGCGGGTCTGGCGGCACTCAAGCAGCTCCCTGGAAGCCCGGCGCCGACACTGTTTTCCTGTTTCCTGTTCTCCTGTTGCTGCTGCTCCTCCTCCTCAGACTGCCCCACTCATCCCCTCTTCCCCCTCCTCCGTCTAGTCGGAGCCGTTACTGGCTCGAGCCGCCGTGGCCACGGAGCTCCCGCCAGCAGCGCTGTGCGCTGCACCCCACCTCGCCCACGCGTGAGATGGACACTTCCGCGCAGCGACCCGTGGTGCGGGCCGACATCGGGGTCCCCCCGCTGCCGGCCTGCGCGCCTGGACTTGGCCCCCGGCCCCCCCCCCCTGGCCCCCTTGGAATCCCGCGCACCTGAGGCCGCCGCTGCCCCTGCGTTCCTCCTGCGCGTGGCCCACCCAGTCGGCGACATGGGGCAGGCCGCTCAGGCCTGGTCCCTCGGCCCCGACGCGGCGCTCAAGCCCGAGCCGCCGCGCCGGAGGCACGGCCCTCCCGGCAGCACGCCCGCCGCGCCGGGGTTGCGCGCGGCCTCGCGGGCGCACCCTGCGGCGCCGGCGGGGGCCTCGCGGGCGTCGGTGGCGCTGCGCGCCGCCGGCGCCGCGGCGCTCGCGGCCGGGTGCGGGCTGGTGGCGACCCCGCGGGGTGCAGGGCGGCGGTCGGCGCGGTCTTCTCGCCGCCGGGCGTCGGTGGTCGCTCTGCGGGCGGGCGCGCCGCCGCAGCCGCTGCCCTTCTTGGGCGCCACCGTGCGGCGGCTGCGGGTCGACAAGGCGAAGGGCGGGGTCACGGAGCGCGAGGACCGGGGAAGAAGCATCGGGGGCAACGTGGTGGTCGCCGCCTGGCCGGGGTCGCTGTGGCGGTGGTGGTCGCCTTCGGCGGTTTTCCAGCCTCGGGGTGCTCTCCAGCAGCTGCGCATAATTCATCGACCTCGAATGGCACATTCAGCGCCGAAGCAGGGGCATGATGGCCCACCCTGCCCAGGAGCGTGCGGACGATGCGCGGTCGGGGGCCGATCGCCGATGTCGGCGATGCATCGCCGATCCCAGCTCGAAGTTTCCCCCCTTCTGTCGATCGCCCCCTGACTACTCCGCTCCCGCTCAAAGAATTCTCATGAACATCCTCTAGAGATCCGATGTCTTCTTCGTGGTTCCACACGGTGTCCTCGGACGTCCTGGACCTGAGTTGAACGGCGCAGGGAAACGGGGTCGACTGCGCCGACGTTGGCGCGTCGGCTGCCCGCGTAAGGTCGCACGTGAGCGCCCTCGTCTCCAAAGTAGCATGCCGCGCTAGTGGCCCGCGTAAGCCACCGCTTGAGGTTGCCGTGTCATCCCACGTGAGACTTGTTTTTGATCGTCGCTCGGTTGTCTGGCGGTCCTGGGGCCCGGTGAGCCCCCAGAAGCCGAAAGCGGCGAAGATCCTTTGCCCAGGTCTCTGTCAATACGCTGGAGGCCGGGGAAACGTTGGGAGGCCCGCGCGGGTCTCCCAAAGGCTTTCTGTCTGTGGGTGTGCCGAGGTTCCCTCGTATTCAGGAGCGCGAGGAGGTCGGGCCGCCCGCAGAGCTCGCGGTGCGCAGGCCGCCCAGGCAGCAGGGGGTGCAGCGGAAGGTCTTGGGGGACCGAAAGGGATGCGGAAGCAATGGGTGCGGAGACCAACGCAGGGCTTCTGGTTCATCCTGGACGGGATCTGTGGACGGCGTCGCCGCGGACTTTGTCCATTTGAAGCGGAAGTGGCCTACACAACAGCAGCCGTTGTCGCTGTTTGACGACAGCTGCTGTAGTGCGTCGTGCCCATTTGTTCCGTACCCATTTCGAGCGTCCAAAGATCGAGTGGCAGTTCTCCGTGGAGTCCCGGACGAGGTCGCTCTTCCTGACGCAGGCTCCGGAAGAGGACCCCGAGGAGGAAAAGGTGCCGATACCGCTACCCATCTCTCGTATTCGCGTATGGGGGGCCGCTTGGGAGTCCCTCGTCCCGACGTCTGGCGGTATCGGTACCTCCGTGTTTCCCCAAGGACACCTATCATCCCGAGATCGCCCTCTTCGGCCTGAGCAACGTTGGCAAGTCCTCACTGATCAACTTCTTGTGTCAGAAGAAGCTGCTGTCGACCGTGTCGAAGCACGCGGGCCACACCAAACTGTTGCACCACTTTCTCCTCAAGCCGAAGGGACTCCTTCCGAACAAGAAGATGGAAAAGGATGCGTGGTTCCTGGTTGATCTTCCAGGGATCGGTGGGTTCGAAGATGCCAAGAGCCCACTAAACAAGAAGGCAATTTGGAAGCTGGACAGGAGCGTAACAGCTTACGTCCGACATCGCTCTACATTGGTGAACATGTTTTTCTTGGTAGACGCGTCCAAGCCCGTTAGGGCCAATGACCTCCAGGGCATCAAATGGCTCACAGACATTGGGATGGATCTTACCATCGTCTTCACAAAGATGGATAAGAAACCAGAGAGGGGGGCTCTATCGACGCACCCCGGGGGGCCTGCAGAGTTGATGGAGGCGGAGCTCGTCGCTATGCAAGAGTCGCCGTTCTTGGCGAGCGTGGCGGACATGCCCCCGATGTTCGAGACCAGTAGTGAGAAGAAGCTCGGGCGCGACAAGCTGCTCGATCACGCGATGGAGCTCGTGCATGCCTGGAAGGTGGGGCGGCGGCGCCACTTCAAGCAGCTGGGAGGCGGCGCCAACGCATGGCTGCCCGGTGAGAATGACCTGGACGGCGCGGAAGGCGCCAAGGCGCGGCGGGGCAAAACCAGGGTTCCAAGTGGGCCGCCGCCGGAAGCCATGGGCATCCGCTGAGCGGAACAGGTCACAGCCGTGAGCCTTTGGCAGCCAGGGCCCAGCGCCGAGGCCGCAGAGCTGGATCGACCATCGAGGCGGAATGGCGAGACGAAAGCATGCCAAAGCAATGGTCCTCTTACTGGTCCTCGCCATCCTCCTTCCCCCTTCTCTCCCCCTCTCCGCCTCCTCACCCTTCTCCGCCGAACCCACTCCCCCCCTCACTCCGCCTCCCCGCTCTGCTGCCGCCGCGCTCGCCCCACCGCCCGAGCAGGCGGGTGGGCTTGGCAGGTACGGTGGCCGAACTCTGCCCCTCTACGCTCGACCCTCCGCCTCCACCTCCACTTCCCCCTTCCCCCTCCTCTGCCTCCTGCTCGAGGCGGTCTTGGATCTCCGGGAGCCCCCTGCTCACGACCACAGCACCCGACCCCGTCTCTCTGCGGCAACGCGGGCAGGATCGATCTCTCTTCGAAGGTCCAGAGCCCGAGTCGGGGCGGCGACGTCCGTCGTGTTCACGATGCTCAAATGACCACAATGTGGCATGTACAAGGCTAAGCGAGGCATTACGGCCAGGAGCGATTGCTGAGCGTGTCCGCGCCGTTGGTTCTGGCCCACCGCGCTTCGGCAAGACACGCTAACCACGCCACAGCCCCCGAGAGTCAATGTCCCGAGCTTCTCGCGAGCTTCCCGCCCCGCGAGGCAGAGCGACAGGTCATGCGCTTGCAGGGCATAGCATATCGTCGGGGCCGCCGCCGCGACACGCTAATCAAACTATCCCGACAGTGACACCCATCGAACTCGAGCTGCCAGAAGGATGACCTTCCAGCAGTGTCCGAAGACCCTCAAACATTGCCCAAAGACTGCGGATGAGAGGCACCAGCACCGGCGCGCCAGCGGAGCGACGCGAAACCGCCTGCGCGAAGCTTGGGGAGGAGGCGGTGGCCAGGAGGAGGAGGGCGGAGGGCGATGGCCGAGGCCCCCGGAGGCCATGTCGAGGAGGAGGAGGAGGAGGAGGAGGAGGAGGAGGAGGAGGAGGAGGATGTGGACGACGAGAGGCGTTTTCGCCCGAGGCCAGAGGGAACAGGTCCCAGGCCCCCGCGGCGGCGCCCAGGCGAGGCGCCAAGGCAGCCCGCGCGACCCCATAGTCGCGGGGGCGGCCCCCCCCGCGCCCAGCAGCTCCAGGCGGCGGCAGCGGCGCCTTGCAGCAGGCGGCAGCGGCGCCTGACAGCGGCGCCTGACACGCCAGGCTGCCGCCTGGCACCAGCAGCAGCAGCAGCAGCAGCATAATCAGCAGCAAAAGGCAGCGATCCCCAGCCTGGCACAGGAGGCAGAGAAGAACAAGAGCAGTGGCACGTGTGCTACTCATGCTAGGAGCTGCAGCCAAGTTACTTCGTGCACATTATTCGCAACGCAAGATGGCATCAACCCGACGAGGAAGCTCTCAGGCACGAGGTGGATCAAGGCATCGTGGGCAGCCAATGGCGAGAGCACCAGAGAGACACTCAGGATGATGGACATGTAGGAACTGCGGAGTCACCAACCCCTCGTCCGCCAACAAGTGCTCTTGCGAGACCCCGCCACATCCGAAGAGAAGACCCACGACGCCGATCCAGAGAAATGATGCAGCGGTACCAAAACAACAAAGTTATCCATGGCGACAAGCCAGACAAAAAGAGAGAACCCCGCGCAAGAGGGACCCAGCCGTTCAGAAGCTCATCGACATGATCCCCGTGGCCATTCGAGAGGGAACAGAAGCCACGCCAGACTTTGAAGAGCCACCGACGGACAACAACATGAGCCGCCCGCTCAGGTTCAAAATCTACGCGAAGCAGACCCAACTGGCGGTGGCAGTCATCCAGTCAGAGAAGGCCGACATCAACATGGACGAGTCCAGGCACAAAGTATACATGATCAAGTACACCCCCGACATCATGAAACCAGCGGCAGCCAGAGTGGAGAGGTACAGAAAAAGGGTTAACCGATGGAAGGATACCATCAAGGGGCTCTTTAAGGAGAAGATCGCAGTCGAGAGCCGACTTGAGGAAGCGCGTATGCAGCTCGATCGCGCACAACAGGCACTGCGGGACGCCATGGAGGACAGAAGTGGAGAAGAAAACGAGGCGGATGAAGACCCCAGCGAAGAAGATGCAGTGGAATATGACTTCCTAGTTGAAACCATGGCGGCCCAGCCTCAGCTTGTAGCAGAACAACCACAACGCAGGACGAATCCAGCAGGGGAGAGGCCACTGCAGGACACGTGCCCCAGCAGTGTTGAGATTCCGAACAACCAGCAAACAGCCCAGAATATCAACCAGCTCACGGAGATGGCTGCGGCGCAGCAGGTACATAACGGTATGTTGCAGAAGAACCTGAGCGATATGCAGGCAGAGAACCAGAGCCAAAACATCTGCTACGAGCAGCAGGCCCAGTATCAGCAGTACTACATAGCACCAAGAAGGGTACTCGCCAACGACACCGACAGAAGGACCCACTCAACACGTAAGAGCGCGCCCAAGTCATCCAACACAAAGAGTGTTTGAAGAGGAGCCAACAGGAGGCAGCCAATGCTCACATCAAGACGGCCATAGCTGGGCAGCTCAACGTACTGGACACAAGCTTGAGAATTACACCAGAGGAACGAGCAGCAGCGGAGGCGGGCCCGGAGACAGAGGAGCCCAACCCCCCTACAGGCAGCAGTTCAGCGTCATGCAGATATTTCCAAGCAGGGCACCAACAGCCCGCGTGGACAACGACCCAGATGTACATGAGGATTGGGACAGGTACCAGGCAAAGGTACACGAGAACAAGGTTGGATACAATGTCCACGATGGGTTACCTGCAGCATACTGGGCGGCGCATCGGCCTGGAGTACAGCAATCAGATCCTCGCACAGGAGAACAACAAGTATCAGCTCAGGCCGCGCCGCAGGACAAGTACCCGCCCAACCCGTTCTCGACGGAAGACATTGTCGAGCGCGCGGAGTGCACGAACACCCAGTACGCGGAGGCACTCAAGCAAAATTTCGGCTCAGATACAGACTCTACTCCACCCGAACAACCTTGGCCAGAAACGCCGACTGCGCCAACGCTATCAGCAGACAGCCCGCATCCTCCAGACTCAGCAAAACCAGTACCAGGGACGCGATCGATTTCACCGACACAACCACTGGAGCCTCAACAACATCCACAAGAAGAAGGAGAAATGGCGCTTCGCAGCACGGCAAGGTCCAGCAGAGCATCAAGAACACCAGGGACGCCAAGAAGCACCAGGACCAGCTCCTAGGAACAGGAGCCAGATGAGGAAGGAGAACGACCAGCACGTCAGCGAGAAACCGAGAGGCATCTCATCTCGGAAGGAGACACGCCACCGAGAGGACAAGAGCGAGCTCAATCGCAACCACGGTTTGGGACCCAAGAACGTATGTCGAACCTGTGGAGACCCAGACAGCTCTGCCCCCTCACCATCAGGTCTTCTGCAGCCGCCACGCGTCGCCCGCAGGTCGATGGCCCCCTTCGGCAGGTTCTCTAATTCAGTCGCCGTCGACAGGAAGATCCACGGCATCCCGACCCGCCGCTAAGAGGCCAAGACGGGTTCATTTTGGACTGGGCCCCGCGCGCGCCTCGAATTTGACCCCGGAAGCAGCGGTGCGATATGGCGAGGAGCTTCACCCGCCATCGCTCAGGCCGACTCGACGACTTCCAGCGTGCAACGGCTACCATCAGGCCAAAGTGATGAACGACCTTTCTCACGACGTGAAGGCGCGCAGTACCCGCCTGAGATTTGGTTGCCAGGTGCAGGTGCCAGGTCGCTCGGGCTAGCCGAAGCAACGGACCATGCGCATATTCCAGAAGTGCGTCGGGGCGCCCTGCGCCCATGCCCCCTGCAGCCCTGGACCCCTCCCCCGCGCGGCTGGACCAGGAAACTGCGCGGGGGGGGGGTCGAGGCGAGCCCATCCCTCGACCATGCGCGGCCAGGGCCAGGAGGATCAGATACCAAGGCATCTGTTGGGAGATCCACGGAGCCGCTGGGCAAACGAGAACTGCAGCGCCTCACAGACGCTCGAGAACGCCGCGCCCGATAAGTTCGAGATTCCAGGAAGGCAATCAGCACCGGCGACAATGGCCGCAGAGAGGCGTTGCCCACACGCGCAGCAGAATTAGCAAAGCCTATCACTGACAGAATCGACTTCAGAGAAGATTGGTTTGTCCTTCAGCCCTGCCCTGAGGAGATGGACATCCACGGGTTTGCTCAAGCAGCACTGGAGCTCGCGAAGTTCACGGCGGTTGACCCAGTCAACGACTACACTTACACAGATGTAGTGGTACCCACCAATAAAGAAGCATCTGGATGGTCGCTACCCCTGCTATCACGTGGAGATGGCGAATTTCACTTTCTTGGGCAGATAGGACACACGCTACAATATGGCATCAGCATGGGTCTCAACGATGGGAAATTAGATTCAACACAAGCCGAATTCATCGCTGTCATATGGGCACTGCTCCTTTCATTGCAGCTCGACAATGACGTCAGCATCAGCATATTCACCGACTCGCAGGGCGCAGTTGGCACATTGACCAGAGCCACATCGATGGGCGAGACGATCTCCATGCTGGCAATAAGTGTCTATGATGCAGCACAGCGCATACGTGCTGTTCCCCTTGCGGCATGCGAAAGGGCACGTTGGGCAACCATGGAATGATTTATGTGGCCCCATGGCCAAATACTACGCCGAGGAGTTCCAGGACGCGGGCAACGTCATCGACCTGACCAGAGACGGTGCATCACCGAACAACTGCGTCGTCAAGGAACTGCACATCACGGAGCACGTGCATTGGGCAGCCTTGAGAGACCACAGATATGCAGAAACACACACACACACACGCGTTCCCTGAAGCGATCGAACTTCGGCTATGCTACCGACGCCAAGCGTTTCAGGCACAGGACGATCATCATTTCAGCACCAAGATTACCGACACTGCCAGCACCGCCAGCAGCGGATAAAGTGCGAGCGCCAACCCAGAAGGCGAAGGCCACCATCAGCCTCGACTGGGCCGCCTACGAGGCCCAGCGCAGAGTGGGGAACGCAAATGTGGACAAGGCATGAGCACCGAGAGAAGCATTCAGCAAGGTTACCAAAAG